TTCTTCTTCTTTTTTCTTAAGTTTTTTTTTTAGATTGTCTCGGTATTCTCAAAAGAGCTTTAACATTTGAATATGATCAAAATTTGAAGGGGATTGTGGTAGTTAAGGTATGAAACGTCATTACTGTTAAGGTCTATAGACCCCTTGCATCATGTGACGTCAAAGCAGCTCAATTTGTAGGACAAAACAAAAAAACTTCAATCGACAGAGAATTGGAAACCTATCGTTATGTCCTCCACTAAGCTGCATAATCCTACGTGTTGCAACGGGTCTATCCAATGCATTAAGAGCTAAAGGTGTAGTTTACGCCTGATGGCAGCGGCTCCTTCTTCTTCGTACTCTTTCTTAGACACGCACATGTTAGTGAAAGTAGGAAGATTGGTCAAAACTGACGCCCCGGTCCACACGGCCATCGCTCTGTCCTTCTGCGCGACCACATGAGAATGAATGGATGCTGAGGGCACTAAGGATGACATCTCTTTATTCAAGCGTTCTGGGAAGCCAGGCAGCATCGTTGTGCCACCAGCAACGACGATATTGCTGTGAAATTATCAAGAAAGAAAAAATATTAAGTATTTAATTTTGTCATACCGTAAAGAGTAGCCTGCGTCACATCCGGAATAAATTCCGGATGTGACGCAGGGATACGGCGGCCATCTTTGATCGCAAGGCATTATGGGGCGTCCATGGAGCAAATACATAGCTAATTGAGGCTGATGTGATCAAGGCTAGATTTTCCTTTATTACCCATATTGAGCTTGATTAAAAACTGGGTCGATTGACTAATTTTGCAGGGCATTTCATTTTGGGGCTGTTCTAGGGAACATTTCCAAGATGGCCTCTACATTTTTCTGATTGGTTGACCTTGAGTTCGTTCTTGGCCCGGTTGTACGAAGGGTGGATAGCGCTATCCAACGAATAAATCTTATCCAGTGGATAAGTCGATGTAGTTTTCCAATGAATTTATTCACTAGATAAAATTTATCCGTTGGATAGCGCTATTCATGATCACCCTTCGTACAACCGGGCCCTGAAGGTCAACTCAGCTGTGGTCAGCGTACGTACTTACCCAAACATTGTCTTCCTAGTGTCGTTCTCACATTTCGAAATAGAATACTGAATCAACTTATGGACACCCTGTGTATTCAGGCCCAGGACCGTGGGATGGAACAGCGCCTCGGGCACCTTGTAACGCTCTTTATCCAGCGTGACTTCCCTTCCATCCGGTAACTTATACACGGCACTTCCTTGAGTACCAGTTGTACCATCCGAAGATACGTAACACAACTTTTCTTTGATGTCACGCGCGACTTCACCATCTGTCACGTTGTCTAGATGTCTCATAAGGTACTCGTTAAGGTCACGGCCTCCCATATTTAAACGCGTGTTGCCTTCTGGGATCGAGAAGCCTTCGAAGATGGGAGATATGTAGGTCACGCCTTCTCCAGAGTCAAGAACAATACCAGAGACTCTACCGACAGAGTACATCACGAGTTGAGCGGAGACTGGTACATAGAAGAATTGAGTTTGGAATTTTTCAAACATGATCTGAAAAATGGATTGCATGGTAATAATTTTACCTGGTGAAGATTTTTTTGCATATTGCATAACATACCAAAGCCCGAAGTGCACTATGGGTGATTCGAATACATCATTGAAAGGTCATACTGAGTCTCCTTCGTGGGGAAGGGGGGAGGGGGGGTTGGGGGCTCCTGTCCTCCCCTCCCCTCCCGATCCCACACACCTAAAAGTTTCACAAAATGAAAATGTAATTTTCGCATAAAGTAGGTGGGCATCTCGAGGTTGCTCACAGGAGGTGACTGTAACTGGTAAAACTTACCTCGGCCATTTTGTCACGATTTTCTGGTGGATTTGAAGGAGCTTCTGTCATCAAAACACCATGGTTTGTAAAATCGACATTCAACTTTCCAAAGGCGTACTTCCAGTACTAGAGTAGTAGAAGTAGAAGATGGTTGTGTGTTAGTAATAAATATGAATTGTATGAAGAACGGGGAATAAAAAGAAAGAGGAGTAGAAAGAGTAGTAGAAGAAGTTGGAGAAGAAGAAGTTGGTGAATAGTAATAAGATGCATTATTTTAATAATGATGATTATGATGGTGGTGATGATAATGATCATGATGATAATGACGATTGATGATGATAATGATGATGGTTATAATGATGAAGATGATGAAGATGATGGTGATGATGATGATGATACATGATAATGATGATGATGATGGTGATGATGGTTATGATGATTATGATGATGATGGTGATAATAAAGGTGATGATGGTGATGGTGATAATGAAGATGATTATGATTATGATCGATGATAATGAAGATGGTGATGGTGATAATGATGATGATGATGATGACGATGGTGTTAATGATGATGATAAGGATAATGACGATGATGAGGATGATGAAGATGATGATGATCGATGATAATGAAGAAGAAGAAAAATGGTGGAGCAAGTGAGGATGCAGGAAAACAGAGAGAGCACCGCACAGAAAGCCTGCTTATACAAAACCTTGCGTGTGCGTCACTGATTTCAGTCACGCCTTCCTAGTTTGATATTTTCATAGAATATTGACATCCATTATGTCATAGTTAATCACTATGATTATGCAAATTTATCTGTGGTTCACAACATAAGTCTCACTAATTAACTAATCATCGATCGCGAAAAGCGTCATGACTTTGTCTAAAACCAAAAAACTTTATTTAATTTTTGTTCAGGTATCGATCTATCGCGATGAAAAAAATATTCATTTTTTTGTATGATTTATAGTAGCTATGGGTTAGAAATAGCGAATAAGAGGAAGTCTTAATGAAAGACTTTGTTGTGTCAGTTCCAGCACGAAAAGCTCGTATTTGTCTTAATAATGTACATCGCTAACTGTAAAGATGTTTTTGATCAGTTATCGAGCATTGTACGAGTTAGTTATTGATAGATGTGTTGATCATCACAGTGAATGAGCGATCTAAGCGAACGCTGTAAAAAAAGAAAAGAACTTGAAAAAATGATTTCAAGCTTCAACGGGAATCGAACACATGACCTCCGCGATGATGTTATTACTGTAAAGCTCTTTAGGAGTATTAGTTAGACTAGCTACTAATTTTTTGTCTCAGAATTTCATGTGGGATTATATTAAACTATAACTGATTATGGTATTCTAACTTGATTGTGAGAAGCTCTTTCTACCCGCATTTTTGTAATATAGCTAGCAACGAAATTTTACCATCTGATTTGCTACATGACTTTATGTGTAATTTCTTCAGAAATTATGCATGCAGACTTAACTTATAACAAAAACTATGAATAATTTGTTAGTTAAAAAACTTAATTGTAACCGTAAAAAACAAAACTGACAAAACATAACCTAAATAAACTGGGGCAAAAATTATACTAAAAACTTCGAAACTATATACTTGAAGTATTTTTTAGAAGTATAACCCCTCTGATCTCGAAATTAATATTGTATCGAAGGGATAAATCATTTATAATTTTTGAACTTTTGAGTAGCTTTGATACCTTTTCCATGTCTTCCCAGTCAACTACAGCTCCATGTTCCATAGGGTAGCTTAGATCTAGGTTTTTCTTTCCTATTGCTTCGTCCCCAGCGTAAAATACATCTCCTGAAGACTTGTCTCGTCCAACGATGTTTGGAAGAACGATTTTCGGATCGTCTTCGCTTTGGAAACCAAGTTTAACTAAACCTGTTCCGTTATCCACTATAAGTGTTTGCATTTTGGAAACGAAATATGAGAGCACGACTTTCAAAACTTCTAAACGGACAGTATTTGGAAAGCACTTAAGGGAGATAATGTCACTGCAAAACCAACTAGAAGGTCGCAGAAGCGTTGAGATGAATAAATTGAATGATATTAATGATTGATGAACCTAGCTAGAGAACTGTACGCCAAGCTTGACTTAGTTTGCGTGACAATTGCGTGACAATGATTGTTTGATAACATCATATGACGTCACCTCTGAGCCATCATTACCCATAAACCTTTGGGTTGAATTTAGGAGTTCGTGAAAAATATTGGGTAGAAGGCAGCTCGACGTTCCTTGGTCGTGACGTTCCCTTGGAATAATATTCTGGGTTTAAGTTATAACCATATTCATGTCGTTGAATAAAGAAATGATACTGAAGGGTCTGAAATGAGAAACTATTGCACCATAGCTGATCAAAAGCAATACTAGTTAGGAAAGAAATAATACTCAAGGGAATGACACATGGTCTGAAATGGGAAAACATTGTACCATAGCTGAAAAGCATTCCTAGTAAAGGAAAAAATAATACTCAAGGGAATGAAGAGTGGTCTGAAATGGGAAAACATCACGTTTAAGGTAAAGAGGTCTATTTTCGACAATGCTTGGAAAATAATGACTTCCTGTTTGAGATAAGGGGTCAAAATCATTCAATCAGACTGAATAAGGTAAAGTGGTTTCTCATTTCAAACTCACATTTAAAAAAAAGTTTCTTTCTTTCAGATATACTTACAAAAATTAGGGAATGTAACTTTTTATATTTCAAAATCCTTGAAAATATGATTCTTTATTTGAGTGAAAGCTACTCATCTTCCTGGCGTTCGCGGAAAAAAAAGAAATAATACTCAAGGGAATAACACATGGTCTGAAATGGGAAAACATTGCACCATAGCTGAAGAGCATTCCTAGTAAAGAAAGAAATAATACTCAAGGGAATGACACATGGTCTGAAATGGGAAAACATCGCACCATAGCTGAAAAGCATTCCTAGTAAAGAAAGAAATAGTACTCAAGGGAATTACACATGGTCTGAGATGAGAAAACATTGTACCATAGCTGAAAAGCATTCCTAGTAAAGAAAGAAATAAAACCATATGGATCAGCAAGAATCAAACAAAAGAATCAAAATCGGCAGCAAAATCGTAATCAGACTAACATCTCTGATAACAAATAAGACAACACAATAAAACAATTGAATTTCAAACTGTTTGGTCTACCAGCTGTGTTGACCTCGCGTCGTCAGACATCATGACGTACCGTTAGTTCATTCCTCGTGTTTCACTCATTCGATAGCTCCAAATCATCGTACAAGGGTGATTCCACAATGGCTGATTCATTCTCCTGTGATCCTTGCTTCTTATTACTTCTCCTCGCCATTTCCATCTTCACGCTGTTCGTTGCCTGGTTGTTCCTGAGGTCTTTCTTACCAAAGCCAAAAATAAAAGACTTCCATAAAAAGTACGTCCTGATCACAGGCTGCGACTCAGGCTTTGGGCGGAGAACAGCGATCCTTTTGGACGAGCTTGGATTCAATGTCATCGCTACATGTCTCACGACCCAAGGCAAAGAAGGCCTCCAAGAAGTCTGCAGTAGTCGTCTGATTGCTGCATTAATGGACGTTACTGATTCCGAACAAATAAGGAACTTCTACGATGAAGTGAAGAAAATAATTCCGAGCGAGGAAGGTACTTGATACAAAAATGTTAGATATAGGAAGCCATGACCCTTCGTGCTGCGAGTGCTACATATCGTTCACCACCGTTAATTAACTTAATGGAAAACGTGTGTCTCGATTGAAAACCATACTGATGTCCCCTCCCCCCAACAAATTGGCCTAACTTGTTCTTTTTAGTTAACACGGAATACATTTCCTGGTGGAAAAAAAGACGCATGAACTGTTGTTTCAGGTTCGATCCCTCATTAGTTCTTTCATTACCAAATAGATATACATTTTATACAACATTTTATACCTTTTGTACATTTTTTATTGTTTAATTTCAATGGAAACGCATGACCCATTGTATCTCTAAATTAACGCATACGTACTGATCAAAGTCAGGGCACGCCAAAATCTACGAACACACGATGCAATATTGAGCGCAATCGATATCGCAAGAGATTATTGGTCGTATATACGCAATGTTACTGAAGTAGAAAGCGATTCTACTACTTGCGCGTATAATGTTACCCCTAGCTCGTATCCGCGCATTCGAAAACCATAACTCTACTTACATGATGAAGAGTCCATGAATCGTGAAAGAATGAGTTATAGCTATCTAAGTAAACTTATTTAAAGCTTGTTTTCGTTTACGATTTTAACTTGAATAGTGTTTAATTATTCAAAGCTCAAAGCTACAACTAGAGCTGACAAACGCTTTAAGCATTTTTCACTGATTTCGGCTATAAGCTATAGCTCCATCAGTTTTAGCCCTAAAATAATGCTAGAGGAAACATTCTCAACCCCTCCCCCTCGGGTCAACAATGAGTATTTCCATGCCACTTCTTATAGGAACCGTTATTTAAGTACTGTTTAATAAACGAGCAAGAGTGTTTTATCGGGTATAAAACACGAGGCGTAGCCGAGTGGTTTTAGACCCGATAAAACACGATCTGCGAGTTTATTAAACGGCTTAAAAACCCCAGATGTATGTTCTCATACTGTACCGAATTCTTTACGAAATGAACCAAGTTTGATAGAGAAAATCCAAGTTAAAGTTTATGCAAATGAAGACGAATCTATATCAGATATAAAACCTCCTTCATGGTCATGATTTCTATTGTGTTTCCTTCATGAATTATTAATGCCTTTTTTAATGAGTGATTAGAATCGTTGACCTGACCAAGCATGATTAGCGTGTAGGCACCGCGATTGCAAGACGTTTAGTGCGGGTTACTTTGATTAGACCTCAGATAATGCTAGAGTAAACATTCCCCACCCCTCCCCCGTCAATCAAGAATGAGTATTTTAATGCCACTTCTTATATGAACCGTTATTTAATGAGTGATTAGAATCGTTGACCAAGCATGATTAGCGGGTAGGCACCGCGATGGCAGGACGTTTAGTGCGGGTTACTTCGATTAGACCTCAGATAAGACGTGAACAAAAAACATACCTGGTATTGTATGGCGCGTTTGTTAAGTGTTTTATTCAATGTACGTATAGAGATATCGAAATAGTCTTTAGAAAAGCTATATTAAGCAGGTCTTTACGCGACACAATGAAGGTGGATTTTTTGGGAGCTATTTTACGTCATATCCGCCATGTTGGTTTACGATATATAGCAAAGCATTCCTCATTAGTTTCTCTTGTTAGATCAACCAACATGGCGGCTGTTT